TGTCCCAAGTGAGGAATAAAAAAAGAGAGAAAGGCCATAAAAAAGAGAAGGCCCAAAAAAGAGAAAGGCCATAAAAAAAGAGACGGCCCCAAAAAAATGAGAGAAAAATAGAGAAGGGACAATGTTACTATCCTTTTACCAAACTTGTGCTTCAAAGTAGCACCATGATCTTCATAGTAGAGAGTCTCTCATGTTATCACTTTCATATACTAGTGGGAATTTTTCATTATAGAATTTGGCTTGTATATTCCAACAATGGGCCTCCTCAAGTGCCCTAGGTCTCTGTGAGCAAGCAAGTTGGATGCACACCCACTAGTTTCTTTTGTTGAGCTTTCATACATTTATAGCTCTAGTGCATCTGTTGCATGGCAATCCCTACTCCTTGCATTAACATCAATCGGTGGGCATCTCCATAGCCCATTGATTAGCCTCGTTAATGTGAGACTTTCTCCTTTTTTGTCTTCTCCACATAACCCCCTTCATTATATTCCATTCCACCCATAGTGCTATGTCCATGGCTCGTGCTCATATATTGCGTGAAAGTTTATAGGTTTGAGATTACTAAAGTATGAAACAATTGTTTGGCTTGTCATCGGGGTTGTGCATGATGAGAGCATTCTTGTGTGACGAAAATGAAACATGACTAAACTATATGATTTTGTAGGGATGAACTTTCTTTGTCCATGTTATTTTGAGAAGACATAATTGCTTAGTTAGTATGCTTGAAGTATTATCATTTTTATGTCAATGTGAACTTTTGTCTTGAATCTTTCGGATCTGAATATTCATACCACAATTAAGAAGAATTACATTAAAATTATGCCAAGTAGCACTCCACATCAAAAATTCTCTTTTTATCATTTACCTACTCGAGGACGAGTAGGAATTAAGCTTGGGGATGCTTGATACGTCTCCAACGTATCTATAATTTTTGATTGCTCCATGCTATATTATCTACTGTTTTGGACCATATTGGGCTTTATTTTCCACTTTTATATTATTTTTGGGACTAACCTATTAACCGGAGGCCCAACCCAGAATTACTGTTTTTTTGCCTATTTCAGTAGTTCGGAGAAACATAATATCAAACGGAGTCCAAACGGAATGAAACCTTCGAGCACGTGATTTTCTCATCAGATAAGACCCAGGAGACTTGGACCCTCCATCAAGAAAGCCACGAGGTGGTCACGAGGGTGGAGGGCGCCCCCCTAGGGCGCGCCCCCTACCTCATGGGCCCCTCGAAGCTCCACCGACATACTCATTCCTCCTATATATACCTACGTACCCCCAAACGATCGGGGACGGAGCCAAAAACCTAATTCCACCGTCGCAACTTTCTATATCCACAAGATCCCATCTTGGGGCCTATTCCGGAGCTCCGCCGGAAGGGGAATCGATCATGGAGGGCTTCTACATCATCATCCAAGCCCCTCCGATGAAGTGTGAGTAGTTTACTTCAGACCTACGGGTCCATAGTTAGTAGCTAGATGGCTTCTTCTCTCTTTTTGGATCTCATTACAATGTTCTCCCCCTCTCTCGTGGAGATCTATTCGATGTAATCTTCTTTTTGCGGTGTGTTTGTTGAGATCGATGAATTGTGGGTTTATGATCAAGTCTATCTATGAATACTATTTGAATCTTCTCTGAATTCTTTTATGTATGATTGGTTATCTTTGAAAGTCTCTTCGAATTATCAGTTTGGTTTGGCCTACTAGATTGGTTGTTCTTGCCATGGGAGAAGTGCTTAGCTTTGGGTTCAATCTTGCGGTGTCATTTCCCAGTGACAGAAGAGGCAGCAAGGCACGTATTGTACTGTTGCCATCGAGGATAACAAGATGGGGTTTTTATCATATTGCGTGAAACTATCCTTCTACATCATGTCATCTTGCTTAAGGCGTTACTCTGTTTTTAACTTAATACTCTAGATGCATGCTGGATAGCGGTTGATGAGTGGAGTAATAGTAGTAGATGCAGGCAGGAGTCGGTCTACTTGTCTCGGACGTGATGCCTATATACATGATCATACCTAGATATTCTCATAACTATGCTCAATTCTATCAATTGCTCAACAGTAATTTGTTCACCCACCGTAGAATACTTATGCTCTTGAGAGAAGCCACTAGTGAAACCTATGGCCCCCGGGTCTCTTTCTCATTATATTAATCTCTATCACTTTATTATTGCTTTGCTTTTACTTTGCCTTTTACTTTTTACTTTGCATCTCTATACCAAAAATAGCAAAAATATTATCTATCATCTCTATCAGATCTCACTTTCGTAAGTGACCGTGAAGGGATTGACAACCCCTAAGCGTGTTGGTTGCATTGAGCTATTGTTTTTGTGTAGGTACAAGGGACTCGCGCGTAGCCTCCTATTGGATTGATACCTTGGTTCTCAAAAACTGAGGGAAATACTTACGCTACTTTGCTGCATCATCCTCTCCTCTTTGGGGAAATCCAACGCAGTGCTCAAGAGGTAGCAGTGATATGGAGTAGTTTTCAATGGTGAACATCATTATGTTGATCATATCTACTATATGATTCACGCTCGACCTTTCGGTCTCCAGTGTTCTGAGGCCATATCTTCATATGCTAGGCTCGTCAAGTTTAACCCGAGTATTCTGCGTGTGCAAAACTGGCCTGCACCCGTTGTAGATGAACGTAGAGCTTATCACACCCGATCATCACGTGGTGTCTCGGCACGACGAACTTTGGCAACGGTGCATATACTCAGGGAGAACACTTTTATCTTGAAATTTAGTGAGAGATCATCTTATAATGCTAGCGTCAAACAAAGGATTAACATCACATGCAATCAATATAAGTGATATGATATGGCCATCATCATCTTGTGCTTTTGATCTCCATCTCCGAAGCACCGTCATGATCACCATCATCACCGGCGCGACACCTTGATCTCCATCGTAGCATCGTTGTCGTCTCGCCAACTATTGCTTCTACGACTATCGCTACCGCTTAGTGATAAAGTAAAGCAATTACAGGGCGATTGCATTGCATATAATAAAGCGACAACCATATGGCTCATGCCAGTTGCTGATAACTCCGTTACAAAACATGATCATCTCATACAATAAATATAGCATCATGTCTTGACCATATCACATCACAACATGCCCTGCAAAAACAAGTTAGACGCCCTCTACTTTGTTGTTGCAAGTTTTACGTGGTTACTAAGGGCTGAGCAAGAACCATTCTTACCTACGCATCAAAACCACAACGATGCATAATCAAGACTCAAAATCCTAGTACTCATACTTAAAAGGCCGTGTGCATCCCTAGTTGGCCAGCGCAGGGTGGTGGTCTACGCCGTTGGCCTCGTCGGATCGTTGGATCCGGCGTCTGGAGATGTACGGCGGTTGTCCTTGTTGATCCTCCTTCCTGGTGGGTTGAGCCCCATGGCACTTGCATCTCTGCTGGTCTCGGTTCGTTTCTCTCGGATCTGGAACAGTCGGAGGTTTGGTGGTATGCGTTGGGGACCGGAGGAAACTTTGGCCGGGTGGCCCGGCCGCCACCCTGCGCGTCGTAACCTCCATGGAGGCGCCGTCTTGGGAGGCTCAGATGGTCGAGCGAGAGATGCTATGAGTGGTGGGCGCCGCGTAGCTCCAGCAGTGGCGACGGTGTGAGCTCTGGGGGAAACCCTAGATCTGGGTCTACTGGACCGAACGATGATGGGACACTTGATGTTGTTGTTCCTCCCGGGGGCATCGTTTTGAAGCACGCGCTGGCTGGAGGGGACAAAAGGAGGAGTGGTGTTACATCTACCGCGAGGCCGATGCCGGATCTTGGCGGCATGGCGTCACGGAGGTTCGGCGATGGGCGCGTTTGGAGATGGACTAATGCAGGAGAAGGAAGTTGTCTGGCGTCATGGTGGCGTTGATGGCAGAGAGGCATGGCAAGATCGGTGCAACAGTTTTGCTTTGAGAATTGACCAATGGATGATGGAGGTGACGACCCTGAAGATGGACAACTTCAAGGATGCGGTTGTCGGGGACGCCGCCTAGACCGCTTGGCTAACCGTCGAGGGTGCGTCAGAGGCGCTACCTGGACCGCACATCGCCGTCGGACCTGTTAGGGACACCGCATGGCCGTCTGTTAGCGTCGGGCCATCGAACTATCATGGACACTGCCTGGACCGCCTGTCCCGTCCCCCTCCATCGGGTCTAGCTTAGGTCGTCAGCGCCACCATCAGGGGACACGCCGCCGTCAAACACGCAGCCGCCTGGCCAGAGGTCTTTCATATCTGCTTTCTTCATTTCCTCAGAGAAGATTGATTCACATTTCATTGAACAGGAAAAGCAGCATGTATGCACTAAAAATCGAACCCAAATCAGGCTTCATAAAATTGAACCAAAAGCAGCCTCGTGTGCACACATTCAACGGTTATTAAGCTTCATTACCAATATGCGCTATGAAACTACTAGGTTACACACTGATATTGAACTTTTGGTAGCACCTGGGTAGTAGATCAGGTGTGCTGATTTCAATGGATTGTGCTTAGGATTTTGAATTTCTCATTTAGCGGCCTGAGGACTAGGTATGTGCCCCCTCCCCTGGTCACTTGATAAGTTGATATACCATTAACTACATTGAATTAGTACAATTTTCAACCCATTTGAAGGAAGAGATGGACCTGCCGATGCCGCTGATGGTGTTTCACGCTACTTTTTTAAACAAAAATCAGGTAATATCATCAAGCCGGATTAAGATTACACGAGCGTTCAGCACTGACGCCACGTGGAGGTGAACCTGTCGCGGTGTCGGCGAGCAAGACTGCACTGACGAGGCAGGGGCCACCAGGCGGCCACACGTACGCCGCCTACGTGGCACCCGTCCGGGTCCGAATCAACACGTGTCACCAGCAGCGCGTCTTCAATCCAGAAAGATCTGCCACCACGACCAGCACAGCACTCCCCGCTCCATCCCCCCCAACCCGCCCATCCGTTCCCCACTTCCATTCACGACCTCTCGCCGCGCCTGCAGATGGCCGAATCCGACACGGCGGCCGGCAAGATGGCCGAACCCGACGCGGCGGCCGGCAAGATGGCCGAATCCGACGCGGCGGACGGCAAGATGGCCAACGGCGAGGTCTCCGACGACGGCCGCGCCGTCGAGGTCTCCGGCAGCGGCGACGACACCCTCCCCGCGGTGCTCCGCGGCTTCGTGGACGGCGTCTGGCCGCCGCCCGGCGACGGCGGAGATCCGCTCCTGCGGCGCCTCCGCGCGGCGACCTGCGAGGCCGCTCCGCGGCTGCGGGACGCCTCCAGGAACTCGGCCCGCGACCTGCTCGCCTGGACCAAGCAGGGCAGCGGCCTCCGCGCCATCCTCGTCATCTCGGTGAGCCTGCCCCCTGCGCGCCCCCTGCTTTCCTTTTCCGATCCGTCCCAGACACTGTTTAGCACCGTAGCAACTGATGTACTCGAGGTCGTAGAAATGTTATGTGATCTAGGGAAAAATTGTGTGAACAATTTGCTGGATGCGGTATTAGAGAATGGATTAATTGTCATGTGAAATCCATCTATCGGTGCTCATATGAAATTCATCAATCTGTGCTCAGTACCGGCAATTTGTACATTTTCATTCGTGAAAATACGGTTTTTCGTGTCAAAGGATGTGCCGAAGTGCATGTTGTAAGGAAAACGGTGGATTTATTGTATGCCTGTATGGTGTGTAAGCCCATCAATGTTGGATGTAGGAATCATTTTAGGTATGGCAGATACCGTCTGTTTGTCTACTTGATATGGCATAAGCCCATCAATGTTGGATCATCATTTATGGTCAGAGGAGAGTAGTAAACCCGCACAGAGAATTAATCACCTTTTTATCTGTTGCAGGTCGGAACAATCACGATGATATCACTGACTGGCCTGCTGATTTTCATGTCCTTCCTTCTGGTTGCGACCGCTAATGCCATTATCGTTTCAGTTCTTATGTCCTTGGCAGCTGCTGGAGGATTCCTGGCCTTGTTCTTTGCTTGCTTAGTTGCAGTGTATGTCGGAGCAGTATCAATTGCCATATTCGTCGTTTCCGCCACTGTTATCTCTGCAATTGTTGGAGTCATGATTGCTACTGGTATGCCATCTCTCTGTCAGTTTTGTTTATATATCCTGGAGATAAAATAACACATAATTTACTCGAGGTTTCAATGTTTGTATTGTTGTATGCAACTTCTAGGGGCATAACGATCATTAGTTAGGCATCAATTTAAGTGTTTTTTATTATGTTATTATGCAAACTACCTTCAGTCCATTCATAATAGTTTTCCTTCAAATACCTACTTGGTGCATCACCATTTTGAAGAGTATATCTAGGACTAGCCAAAAAATCCTCTCACTGGTGATTCAACCACCTTGTCATCACAAAACCAATGAGCTAAGTATTGAAAGTACTCTTCTTCTTTAGTTAATTTAGATACTGTTAGTGCATTGGATAACTTTGCGGCTGGACTGTCTCTGTTCATACTTCTGCCTGTGTAATTAGATCGGAATCCAGCTTGCATGTCCCACTAATAGAGCCATTAATTGCCTATGCTCTTGCCTTAGTGCCCAAGTCATTTGCATTGAAATTGCATTTCTCTTATTAAGAGGAACATATAATCTTTGTAAAGCAATTCATGATAGCAGGATTATTTTAATCCACTTCATTTAACTTCTAAAGTGACTTCTAAACGAGGAAGCATGATTTTTTTATTTTTTATTGAGGTAAATACACCACAAGTCACAGAACTTGCACACGACGGTCAATTTAGTGCGTAAACTTGTAAAATACGTGTTTCTAGTCATCTAACTTGTCTTCTTGTTCATATACGGTGCTTTCTACCGTATCCGGCTGTATCATTACGGGTGCCAACGTGATGGGGCCTACAGTCAGTGGCTGAGGTGGTGGTAATCCGCACGCACTATTTTTTTCTCAGATAGCACCCTTGCATTTTATTTATTTATATGCAGAAAATTCTCAAATAAAAGTAAAAAAAATTGTTGCACACAGTGGGATTTGAACCCACGACCGACCATGATTCGCCCCGCATAGAAGCCACCAGACCAACTGCACCATTGCGTTTAACGGAAAAAAATATCTTTATATAACTAGACCATGCGAATTAAAGTAAAATCAAAACGGAGACAAGGTAATCCCCGCTTCGAGCTTGAGGGCGCAGTCCAAAAGAAACCTATATGCATTCATTCTGGAGTATATTTTCTTTTATGTACATAATTCACATTCAAACAAAAATTTCGTTCATTTGTCCTAAAAAACTATGTACATTCATTTTGACCTATATTTTCGTATATCTAAATTTTCAAATTTTAAATTATTCAAACTAAAAAAAATGATGTTGATTTGTCCAAAGAAATTTATGTACATTCATGCTGCACTATATTTTCTTTTATCTAGATTTTAAAATTAGAAATAATCTAATTGAAAAAAGTAGTTGATTTGTCCCAAAAATTTACGTACATTCATTTTACATTATATTTCCTTTTATCTAGATTTTAAATATTTAATTATTCGAAATCGAACAAAAATTATTTGATTTGTCCATAAGAATTTACATACATTCATTTTGAACTATATTTTCTTTTACCTGGATTTTTCAGTTTACATGTATTCGAATTCAAACAAAAGTTGAGTTGATTTGTCTGAAAAACATACATACATTCATTCCGCACTATATTTCCTTTTATATAAATATAAAAAATTTAAATTATTCATATTCAAACAAAAGTTTTGTTGATTTGTCCAAAAGAATTTACATACATTCATTCTATATTGTATTTCCTTTTGATCTAGATTTTAAAATTTAAAATTATTGAAATTTGGAACAAAATTTTGTTGGTTTGTCCAAAATAATTTACGCTCATTCATCCCGCACTATTTTCTTCAGGAATATATATTTAAAGTTAGGTACTATGTGCAAAAAATAGTCTGTGCAGAAAGAAAATTATACATAGTTTGCCAGCACTGGGATACATAAATTTCAAACTATATAATACATAGCACTCTTATCTCTATTTAATTAGTGCGGTACGTGTTCAATAAATAGCACTAACTGTACATTTGACACATCAAACATTAGTTGGTCTAGTGGTTTTCTATGCGAGGCGAAGGGCAGCAGGTCATTGGTTCAAATCCCATCCCGTTCTCCATTACTTTTTCATTTTATTTGAGGATTTTCTGCATAAATTAATAGAATGTAAGGGTCCTTTCTGACAAAAAACCGGCCTCAGCCACTGACAGTGGCCCTGCCATGTTGGCGCGCGTATGGATATGACTGGGTATAATGGGAAGCACCATATATGAACGAGGCGACAAGTTAGATGACCAGAAATACGTATTTTACAAGTTTACGCACCAAACTGACCGTCACATGCAAGTTCTATGACTTCTGGTGTATTTACCTCTTTTTTATTTTACATTGTTGTATGTGATTTTTGGTGTGAATCAGTAATTCAGACTGTTGTGTTCTTCAGTGCTGTGTTCTCCAGTTACTAGCTATCTTGCACATGTGATGCTCCTTTAATGCTTTTTGCAACATATGATGCGTTATCTGAGTTGGCACCGAGTAGATGATTGAAAGAATGTTACAATGTTGACCAAAAAAATAGCTCTGTTCATACTTGCTGATGATTATTAACTTCCCCCAATAGGCACTAAACTGTGCCATTGAGTAGCTCCCTCCATCCTTGCTGATGATCATAATTCTCCCCAATTGCCACTAAAGTGTGTCATTGAGTAGACAAAGGAGGGAAGGAGATGAGACTGTGGAGAGATGTAGAGGAGTGAGGTATTACCATGAAGACAAATAAAACGTGATTAAGAACTATTAGGAAACTTCCACAGTTTTTATAGCCATTCATCAGATGCGATTTATGGTAAACAGTTATTTCCATAAATAAAGTGATAAGTGTCCCGACACAACCTGTACCTTTATTGGGTATGTAGATAAAAAATACTTACCATTGCAGCCGGATTATCCCCATTTGTACTCTTGCCTGTGAATATAGATCAGAAACAGGGACTCTGTTCTGGCATGCTTGCTCTCCAATTTAGTACTGGTTATTACTTTACCTATTTGCCTTCTCAACTTCCAGTGGACTCATTGGCATTAATCTGTATTTCTGCAATTAAGATGAACTAGATTTTATGTACTAACAACATTAGCTCTGTAACAGTAATTTAAGATAGCAAGTTGTTGTTAGTTCACTTATGTACTTTGGAGGCTAACTGTTGACAGAGGAAGCAGAAAGAAGTTTTTATGCTAGTTAAGTTTTGTTGTAACAGACACTGTTTGGTCTTAGACTTGTTTTTGCCTAGCTAACCAGGGGTATCATGTAGAGGCATCTTAGCTAGTCCTTGAAACGTAGGGGTGATTTACAAGCTTTAGCTGTTCAAATCAACTTCTCCATGCCATGGAACTTTATGAAAGGGGAGACGTGGTTGGCCAATCATGTGGAATGCAGTGTCAGTTTTAGGCAGAGATGCGGTCGGCCAGTCCGTGTGGAATATATTGTCAGTTTTAAGGCAGAGATGTGATCGTCCAGTCGTTTGGAATATGTTCCCAAATTATTGTTCCTTTATTGATGCTCCATATCTGGAAAAGTTAGCATAGAATGGTCATGTTGATTCCACAGGAATGATATCTCCAATGCAACTTTCACGTCCAAAGGGTTTTTTACCAATATCACCTGCGCTAACGTGATAAAATCTCATGCAGGTTGGATCGGATTCTTTTGGATGATTTGGTTTGCCGCAAGGAAGAGCCTGGACCTTACCAAGCACTCAATCGGCATGACGACCTCTGCTATGCAGTCGTATTCGGCTTCCCGGAGTGTGGGGCAGAAGCTCACAGACTGACTGAGATAGCAGCAACTGGTTTAGCCCCAATGCTCTGTATGTTATCGCGTCGTCTTGCCGCCTCGCTGCCCTGCTGTTGTTGTGTTATATGTGCTGCCTAAAGCGTGCCGTATGTGTATCACTTATTTCGAGTAGAGGACATGAATCCGTGTATAGTTATCCCGGTTTAGCGTAAGGTACCACCACTCGCCCCTGAACTTTCGGCACCCTGTGTTGTAGTATACTCATAGTAACGAATAAGGCAATAATGCCGGCTGTGTTGGCGAGTGCGGGCTAGGTTGTGGTTTTGTGCTGTAAATGAAGCTATTCTGTCTGGCTCTGTCGTTGAGGCATAGAGGAATGAATAAAACGTACTGTAGTTGTCAATTTCATTTCTGGTAACATGAACATACTGATCAGTAGCCATAGCATTCAGTCCTGGCTTCTTGGCCACTTGAATAGAGGAGACAGATGTATATACACAGGTAGACTGACCGACCAATCGATCACGCAAGGCGGTCTTGGCGGTGCGGCGTTGAGATCGATGGTCGATCATCGCCTCTTAGCGGTCGCGGCCGACGAGGGAGAGGAGGAAGGTCCGGTAGTTGCCGGAGGTCTCGGAGTGGATGGCGTCGGCCAGCGAGCGCTTGTACTTCTTGTGGTACTCGGCCTTGATGTACTGCATGTCCACCTCCGCCCTGGTGACCACCACCCGTATCAGCGTCGTGTCGCTTGTGCCCAGCCCCTTCATCGCCTTGTGCAGCGCCTTGGCGAAGTACCTCGCCGGGCTCTCGGCGCACCGGAGGATCGTCAGCAGCCCCAACTCGAAGGTGCCCGACGTCTCGCTCTTCACAGCCTGCGACAATGCATATTGCAAAGCCTGAGAAATTTGCACATGGAGTTTCAAGCAAAGCTGGAGATGAAGGCCACCTTGTCCAGGGAGCGCGCGTAGAGGTGGTGGTAGGCGTCGGCGACGGCGGCGAGGTGCGCCCAGCTGCGCTCGGTGAAGACGCGGATGAAGGCCCGCTCGTCGGTGCCCAGCCGCTTCTCGCCGGCGCGGTAGAGCTCCCTCGCGTCGCGCGCCGCCGCCGACGGGTCCACCTCCGGGCCCTCGTACCGCGGGATGCCCAGGTAGGCCAGCAGAAGCTGCATCCAGCCACCAGCAACACACAAAGTGATGATAGGTTCAAACACTGCACAGATGAGCGTATGCGTATCGATGGTGCTGTGGAGGCAAACAAAGACGTACCTTCTGGTGGTCGCCGTAGGTGCGCTCGGTGACGTCCTGCTCGAGGTAGCAGCCGAAGCGGGCGCGGTAGGCCTGCTTCATGATCTGCAGCTGCGACGGCGTCCGGGAGCAGATCACCTCCGTGGCGGCGCGCAGGTCGGTGATGTCGCCGTTGAGGGACTGGTTCAGTATCGTGGCGTCGCGGCCCACGGGGTCCAGCACCCACAGCAGCATCGCCTTCTGCACAAGGAACCGGCACCCCCAAGCAGAGAGGTCATTTCGGGAGCAAATACAGTACTATGCTATGCTTCTTCTTTTTTCGAAAAGGGATACTATACTATGCTATGCTGTCTGTGTGACTTATCATTTTGCATGATATTTGCTGGGTGATTTATAAATCATTTTGCAGTTTGCATGCCTTGTGGTTCCCGCTGAGCTCGGTCGATAGGCGATGGTAGAGGTCCTGGTGGTATATGGCCCTGTACTCCTGCATGATGAGCCCGCGCTGCACCGCGTCGCGGTGCGCCAGGATGTTGATCACCGTCGTGCTGTCGCACCCAAAACCTGCAATACCAACACGTACACCACCGGCCGTCAGCCGTTACGCAGCACATATCGTTGCTGGGCAGGATGAAAAGAGTCCTCCATTATTTGTACGCACCTTTGAAGGCCCTGTGGAGGGCGATGGCGTCATGGCGCGGGGACGTGAGCACCGGAGGCACGCTCAGGCTCGCCATTCTTCGCCTGTGTTTGGACTTGGAGGTGCCTGTGACCAACTGCGTGCGTACGGGGCCGGGGGCGAGGGTTTTAAAGAGGGAGACGCTGAGCTTTCCCGTCGGGGGATCACCCATGGATGGGGACGCCGCCGTGCGCATATGGTATGCTGCGTGTGATCGACGCGGGCGCATGCATGGCCGGCCCGGCGACCCCCACCACCATCACAGGAAAAGGGAAGGAGAATATATGCCTCCTTATCGACCAAGTGGCGTATCAGATACTCCGGCCGGTAATTTGTACTACGTTATACCCTTGAGTTTCTTCTTAAAAAGGAAAAAGGATAGCGTCACGCCACCTCACACTGGGCACTAATTTATGACAGTTTTGCTAAGTCTCGATCGACTGAGACTTCGTTATGTCTCAGTCGATGCTATCTTTCTTTGATTTTGCATGGAGATTCATACAACAAATTATTTTTAGTTTTTCTTTTTCTTCTTACATACTACTCCATTCGTAGTGTCAAAAGCGCTCTTATATTATGGGACGAAGGGAGTATATCACTTGACTGAGACTTGGTTAAGTCTCAGTCGACTGAGACTTGGTTAAGTCTCAGTCGATTGAGACCTAACTACACCCAATTTATAACTTATATGCATAGGGCTTGTGTATGCCTCTAGGTTGACAATTTGACTATTCAAACATCTGTTATATGTGATGGTATTTATAAGTTCAGAAACAGTACGCATATATATGAAGAATCCAATGATATGCTTTCGATGGCAGATAACACATTGGGTTAGTCAAATCGACGACATAAAAGCGTGTGCGCACCAGACTAGAGGGAGTAGCGGGTTGTTTTGGTCACTTGAGATACTTTGAAGGCAAACTGTTATCTTAACAGAGAAAGCGGAAAGAAGTTTTTCATACATTATGTTAGTCATATCAAGTTTTGTCTTTTTTTCTAACAAAAAATGCTATAAAAAAGATTTATCAAACCATAATAGACATTCTCATGCGGTCTTACAATTCTTTTTGTCTAGCTAACCAGAAGTCTCTACTGTTAGAGGGGAATCTGCCATCGTCGTGATGGTTCAACCCCTCGTATGCATCCTCCCCGAGCAAAAAAATCGCAGAAAAAAATCCCACGTTCGAGGCCAGGGAAAAACCGAAACGACCCGCACGTCTCCACTTATTCCCCCGCCTGTCTCCATCCCCAGATCTCTCTCCCGAACAAAAGCCTCCCCCGCCCCCTCCATCACGACCCGACGCCTCTCCATCGTACGCCCCTCTCTCCGGTGACCACGGCCGCCTCCCTCTATCCCCATTAATTTTGTGCCGCCCCACCCTTGACCTTGTGCCACCGACACCGCACCTGGATGGGGTGGTAAGACGACAGACCAATGCGACGGCGGGGTGGGGGTCATGGTGCTCCGAGGCTCCGAGCCACGTGGGTGGAGGTGGCGACGAATGTCTAGGAGGAGGAGAGGTGCGCGAGCTGCGGCTGTAGAGGCGGCGACAAAGAAAAGGAGGAGAAGGAGAGGTACACGAGCTAGATCGGTGGAGGCGGTGGTGGAGGTCGAGGAGGAGGGGGAGTGAAGTCTAAAATAAACCCTATGGTTGTAGAGCTCGACGTTAATAAACCCTTACGTCTAAATCCCTGAAATATGTATCCTAACCTTTCAGATTCCGGTCATTTTGAACCTTTTGAAGTTTCTAGGAGAGGATTTGGTGACATGGCACTGAGAGGCTGGGATTGCTGACTCTGACTAACTTAATGATTGCCACGTGGGCGTGCTCACATGCGAGCCGCCACCATGCCCATTTGACCACTGCTGGCTATCCGTGTTGCGCTCCGGCGCTACTAGTACGAGCTCCACTGCTTCCTGTCGATGCTCTAGATCGCCGCCCCGTCCGCGAACGATATTTGCATGGACCGCGTCCCGTGCTTCGTCCTGTAGATGTTCGTCGCCGACGTCTCATTCTGCCTCGCGTGTGTCGTGTTTCTCGCTGGGAACAGATCAATAGCAGACTGTACATGTATATATTTACGCGTCTAGCCGGTGTAATCAGAAGCACGCCTGTAGCTTGCTTGCTTGTGCGTGCATGTAATCCGCGAACATTGGTCAAGCTCTACAACGAGCCGGTGCATGGCACCAAGCGCCCGAGCCACAGCAACCCCGGCGTGCAGCACACCACGATGGCTAGCAGCGACGTGCTCAGGAATCTCAGGGAGATGCGGGTGTGCTCCGCCATGGGTGGCTTCAGAGTTCCTGGTGCCGTGTAGCCGACTTGCCGAAATATTACCACGCTGTGCATGCATCGCTAGATGCATGGCCCTGGCACGACCATGAGTGGTTGCGAGTCACGCAGCTCCCGTGGCCGCTCGCACGAGGTGCAGTCCACGGCGATGCTGCTGAGTGCTGAGTGCTGACTGAAGGAGTCTGATTCCGTGGGACCCATATGCAGGTGTTGGCTTACTAATCAATCCCGGTCTTTCAGGATGGCACTTAGGAATCCTCTGTTTGGATACGACCTCAAGGTTCAAAACGACCGGGATCAGTGAAGTTAGGGTACAGATTTCAGGGATTTAGACGTGAGGGTTCATTTTCACGGAGCTCTACAACCTCAGGGTTTATTTCAGACTTCACTCGAGGAGGGGAGGATGCTCGTTGGAATTCCCAGCTCGTGGAAGCGGACGAAGGAGCACACTATGGTCCCTCATTGTATCAACGCCTCCAACCCATCCATGACTGCTCTGAAGATTTCCAAGGCCAAAGCAGGTATCACCTAGCCTCTTCATTTGTAATTTGGAGAAGAATCAGAGATGTTTGTGTCCTTATCGTCAGTTCAGTTGACTTCTTGTTAGCGTCAGAGTGTAAACCAATTCAGCTGGCGTGGGGCAGTTTTGGATATCTTTATTTCCTTGGTTTTTGACGTGCCGTCGCCTGCCGGAACGAAGCTAGGAAGGCGAACTAGCAGACGAGGTTGCAGGGAACAAGAGGATGGAGCCTCGTGCTATGAACAGAGACGTATCAAAGAATAAGTTGTTGGAATACAGGAAAATGAAGGTCGTGAGACTACTCGACTTGAATGGCCTGGGTGTGTCAAGAGCTTACATGCTTGATACACAGTAGATGACAGAACTAAAATAGAAGAAGTGGGAGAAGGGGGCCCGCACCACATGGTTGGGATGGTGAGCTTATCTCCTAACATCATTTATTTAATGGGTGTGTCTAGGGCACATCTAGATGTGCTCAAGTTATTACACATCTAAGTGAGTGAATCAAGCATAAAGAGAGAAAAAAAATATTAACACGAATCTCAATGTAAGAACAATGACATATGACTTAGATGCGCAATACTTATGGCACATCTAGATGTGCTTTAGCAAAACTATTATTTAATTTAATTTGCTGTCCTGCTATCTTTTGCCCAACTGGTTGGAATATTCGAACATAGTTTCAACTTGGTATGTTGATTTTCATGATAATTACCCAGTTGTTTGTTAGTGATCTTTAAGGTCGTGTTCCTTCTTATCTTGCTAATGGAAAAATTAAGAAATGTGACCTGATTACATGATTGCGAACTTTATTCAGTGTCTGAAAAAAGTACTTTATTTAGTGTCTGGTACGGCTCTAATCTCATCCGCATTTATGTCGCAGTACAACTTTTTGTACTTAGATTGACCTCCGACGACTGTGTTTCGCTGGCCTTTGAGGTTGTGTTCCTTTTTTTAGGCTGTCTTCCTTGTAAGCTAGAGAATGTGAAAAGTATGGAACTTTACTATTTTTACCTGATTGCACTCTTTATTCAATAATGGATAATGGATGTTTAGTTTCGCTGAATTTGGAGACTCTGTTCCATCAAGTCTTCCTCTACGTGTGGAACCTTGCCAGTGTAGGAATCAATAGGGGCAGCCAGCGTTCTGTATGTGCGCGTCATGCCGGGAGGATCCAATTGATCATCTCCTTGAGCAGTTGAGCTAGAAAGCACTCGGCAAGTTGACGGCTGCATCGAACCTGTACCAACAATTCTATTCCTTATCATATACTAGGTAGACACACACTTCTTGGTGCAATTCTGAAATTATGCAAGCAGAACAGTCGATTATGTGTATTAAATATGCAATCCTAGCTAGGATTTACCTGCAGATGGAAAGATTGAATGTGTTGTTCAGTATGAATAACAGATTTACCTGCTACGAAATTAGATGTCATTTTATGAAAAAGAGAACAGGCCACTTGCAGTTTTTCTACCCCGATATCTTGTCATTTTATATGTTCTCAACCAAAAGAAAATTTCCAAGTGGTTACCGACCGTTAAGTGTCAGAATTGTGTCACTGCAGATTGTTAACTATCAATGTTTAACAGTGAGGAGAGTGGACATTGGGGAGTTGATCCTGATGGCGTACAGGGTCCTAAATAGATGCTTTATCATTTTGAGAAACAAGGTGCTTTATTCATGTAATGGCTTCTGACATATTGTTCTGCCATTGGTAGTGTCCGCAGCTCCAAGTCATGCAGTTTTATTGTATAATCCTGAACCTGAAGTCATGGAACATGTATCTTTACTGCTGTTTTTTCTTGATTTGATCATGAGAATTGGTAATTGTACAACCTCTGCTGTATTTGCTTGACTTGCCTTGGTTGGTTAACCAGTGAGCTATGGAAATACCCGGTTGTTAAATCTTAAAATTATCATATGATGAATCCATTACATGGTCTTCTATCTGCCCGGAGATATTTGCCAATGAGTACTTGTTGTTCAAGAGGTGATCTTTACTGATAATTTTTTACATTGTTTGTCATCTGGGAATTCTTCATTTTGTAATATGAAATGGCTAATGAATTTGCTAGGGAATCATATGTCCTGTTTCTCGAGCTTAAATGAATAGTTGTGTTTGTTTAATCTGAAAATGTTCAGGTTTTGTTAAATAAATAAATATAATGCAGTAGATTGATCAAACTCGTGCAAACATATATATGAAACAAAGGCATTTGATAAAAGGTGCATCAATTATTTGAAGCCTTCACTTGACAATTGATTTTTTTCAAAGTCTGTTTCTCTAGCTTCACCTTCACTTGATATTCATGTGTACCTTTGGTGAAGACAATTTGGATGACCAGACCTCCACAAGCTAGAATAACCTAAAATGTTTTAGAAAAACGTATGAGCCGCCAACCTATATCC